TTTTGCTTCTGAAGTTCTGTAATTACTAAGATGAAATTCTTACATATGTCAATATTCTCAACAGAAATATACTTATATAAAGATCTGTATGTCCTCAGAAACACTGAAGATCTTACTCTTACGTTCCTGAACATGGTCACTACTTCTTAAACCCTATTGTGTTTCAGAGCCCTCCTAACATATACTGATACCATTCATTCATCAGGAAATGTAACTCCCTGAACACAAAGAAAAAAACGGGAAGGGCACCTCTGACCAGACAGAATATGGGGCCTGAAACCCATACACGAGGCTTACTTGTCCCACATGGCATCCATCTCTCTCTTTTTTAATGACAATACCAACAAGTTTTATTATCTAGTTTCCCAGCCCACAGAGAAAGGAGAAGAGAACTCCAAAAAGCAGCCAAATTAAACCTACAATTAGGAAAGTCAAAAATACGTAAATACTCAAAATAGAGGTTTGCTGTGGGGACATTTTATAGACAGATTCTTTTTTTATACAGAGTCTCAGTTTGTTGCCTTTGGTAGAGTGCCAGAGTGCTATGGTATCATAGCACACAACAACCTCAAACTCCTGGGCTTGAGTGATCCTTATGCCTCAACCTCCTGAGTAGCTGGGACTACAGGCGCCCACCACAACACCCGGCTGTTTTTTGTTGTTGTTGTTTTTGTTTTTGTTTTTTTTTTTTTGAGAGATAGGAGTCACACTCTTGCTCAGGCTGGTCTTGAAATCCTGAACTCAAGCAATCCACCTACCTCGGCCTCCCAGAGTGCTAGGATTACAGACATGAGCCACTGTACCCGGCCCAGATATGTTTTACTTTAGAAGTAAGCTTCAGGCCAGGTTCATGACTCACCTGTAATCCTAGCACTCTCAGACGCTGAAGCAGGTGAACTGCTTGATATGAGGACATCAAGACCAGCTTAAGCAACTTAGCAAGACCCACATCTCTTAAAAAAAAGAAAAAAAAATTAGCCATGGTGGTGTACACCTGTAGCCAGTCCCAGCTACTTGGAAAGCTGAGGCAAGAGGAGCCCTTAAGCCTAGGAATTTGAGGTTACAGTGAGCTATGACTGAGCCACTGCACTTGTTTTTCTGCTTTAACTAGAAATGGGGTCTTGCTCTTGCAAAGGCTGGTCTCAAGCTCCTAAGCTTAAAGGATCCTCCCGCTTCAGCCTCCCAGAGTGCTAGGATTATAGGCAAGAGCCACTGTGTTAGCCTACATTTTTTTTTTTTTGAGACAGAGCCTCAAGCTGTCCCCCTGGGTAGAGTGCCGTGGCATTACAGCTCACAGCAACCTCCAACTCTTGGGCTCAAGCGAGTCTCCTGCCTCCGCTTCCCAAGTAGCTGGGACCACAGTCGCCCGCCACAACGCCCAGCTATTTTTTGGTTGCAGCCGTCATTGCTGTTTGGCGGGTCTAGGCTGGGGATTCGAACCCGCCACCTTAGGTGTATGTGGCTGGCGCCTTAGCCGGTTGAGCTATAGGCGCCGAGCCACTAGCCTACATTTTTATTATTAACATTACATTTTCCAGGTAACCCATGTTCTGTTCCTATACTCCCTATAACAAAGAAGTACATTTACCGGGAGAGGATTACCTGGTTGGAATTCTGTTGTTTGTAATACAATTCACCCCCAACTACCATTCAAAAGATTCCCCATAGAAGACCAAGATTCCCCATAGAAGACCAGGTGTGGTGGCTCACGTGTATAGTCCCAGCTACTTGGGAGGCCAATGCTGGAGAATTGCTTGTGCTCAGGAGTGAGTCCAGGTGTTCGAGACCAGCCTAAGCAAGATCCAGATCCAAAAACTAAGTGGGTACGGTGAGGCAAACCAGTAGTCCCAACTACTCGTGAGGCTGAAGCAGGAAGATCATCTCAATTTAGGAGTTGGAGGTTGCAGTGAGCTATGATGATGCCTCTGCATGCTACCCAAGGTGACAGGGCAAGACTTCCATTTCAAGAAAAAGGGGTAGGGGGAACCAGGCGCAGTGGCTCGCACCTGTAATCCTACCACTCTGGGCAGCCAAGGTGGGTGGAATGCTTGAGCTCAGTAGTTCAAGATCAGCCTGGGCAAGAGCAAGAGACCCTGTCTCTATTAAAAATAGAAAAAAACAACAAGCATCATGACAGGTGCCTGTAGCACTAGCTACTGGGGGGGGGGGGTGAGGCAAGAGGAACACTTGAACCCAGAAGTTTGTTACTTTTTTTGAGACAGAGTCTCAAGCTGTCACTGTGGGTAGAGTGCCAAGGTGTCATAGCTCACAGCAACCTCCAGCTCTTGGGCTCAAGCGATCCTCTTGCCTCAGTTTTTCTATATGTAGAGACAAGGTTTCACTTTTTGCTCAGTCTGATCTCAAACCAGTGAGCTCAAGTTATCCACCCATATTGGCCTCCCAGAGTGCTAGGATTACAGTCGTGAGCCACCATGCCCAGCCAGAACCCAGGAGTTGGAAATTGCTGTGAACTATGATGCCAAGGCCCTCTACCCAGGGCATCAAAGTGAGATTCTGTCTCAAAAAATATATATAAATAGGCTCGGCGCCT